AGGGAGACGGCTCAGAAGAATAAGTGCTTGCCTGGCAAGCACAAGGGCCTGAGTTCTATCCCTGGTTCCGGAAAAAAAAAAAGTGATCTTCAATGAGAATTACGAGAGACATCTAAGAAAGTTCAATACATTATAGAAAGGGAAACATGCTTTTGTACCCAGTTTCTAGAGACCCACCCAAAGTCACTATTAATATTTTCATTACTTGATTATATAAAGAAAAATTATAGTCACGTGCTCAATATGTGGAGATGTGATAACTTTTTACTAGGTTGCGGGGCCAGGGCTATAGCTCAGCGGCATAAGCATGTGCCTGGCAAGTGCAAGGTCCCAAGTTCAATCCCTGGCATGGGGGGTGGGGGGAAGCCAGTCAGATAGCCAGATAGCTCAGCAGACTAAAGAGCCTGCTGAAGCAGGCATAGGGACGGGGGTTTGATTCCCGGAGTGCTGTGCCAGCCCCAGCCTCACCCCCCGGGGCTTGCTGAGACAGTAAATGAAACTGGGCATGATGGTCCACGCCTGTAATTCCAATGCTTGGGAGGCTGAAAACAGAAGCTACAAGTCTAATCTGTGTAGTGAGACCCTGTACTCAATACTTTAAAAAAAAAAAAAAAAAAAAAAAAGGTTACTATAAATCATATGATTTTTCCTGAAGTTAAATTTCTGAGGTGGGGATGCAGTTCAGTGATACAACTCTTGCTTAGCATGCATGAGGCTCCAGGTTCAATCCCCAGTACAGCCAAAAAACTCCGAAACCTTTTATATTTAATATACAGTTATAATAAAAAGTTAAAAGTTACCTTCTGATAACACATTTATTCAAATATATTGAATGTGTACACAGACCACCAATTTAATTCATATTACATATTATTTCATCATTAAGGGTATTATAGCCTGCAAATTCTCAGTAACCTGTGTTGGTATGATTGATACTGGGCTTGAACAAAAAAGATCTCAAAGCTTCTTCTGGAGATTATATCTTTGGGTTACACACCAGTGAGATTAATCCAGCTGTATTATAGTTAATGAATGTCAATATTCCCTCAACATTAAGATAATTTAATGATATATGGTGCTTTAAATCACTGTTGGTCTCTCATGCAAAGCTCAACCACTGTGAGACATTCTGCTCATTTTATAAATGGAAAAACTAACACTCAAAAAAGTTAATTAAGTGGCTGTCTCAAAGACATATAGCTGGTAATGAACCAGGCAGGTCCCAACATACATATTATCAATATTTTCTGTTTTCCAATACCCAGTGCCTCAAATCATCTTTGATCAACTAATGTCATTGAGAGAGAAAAGGAGGACAGACTGAACCATACTAGTCTATGTATCTATTATTCAAGTATACATAAGTAGGTTACGGAGTTCCTATAGATTCCTTGATAGACTAAAAGACTGAAAACTTCTCATAACTAAAGAGAAATCTTTTGCCTACTGGGATACAAAATACAGATTCTGTTTCATATCCACTGGGCTCATTACGAATAGGTATCTTCCAGGGATGATGCTTAAGCTGTAACACTGAAATCGAAGACATAGTTCAAGAACAGGAATGGGAGTGAAGCAATTTTTTAAAGCTGAGAATTAATGCCAGGACCTTGGACATGCCTGGCAAATGCTCCACCATCAAGCTGTATTCCCTAGGCCACAAGTAAACTGTATTTATTGTGCTTCCAATATACATGCTCAGAAGACCCAAAACAAAACAAAACAAAAACCCACCCTAAAAACTAATGTGTTGGTCTGAGAAAGAATATGGCAAGATAAAGAAAGGTAAGTTAGGATACAATCATGGGAGTCTTCAGTATCCACAATAATTAACCTTTTTTTTTTTTTTTGGAACCAGGGATTGAACTCAGGACCTTGCACTTGCCAGGCAGGCACTTAATCCGCTGAGCTATCTCCCCAGCCCCACAATAACCTTTAAGGAAGTGATGGGAAGGACACAAGAATGGGGTAAAAACAATGTTTAGTCTTTTTTTAAAATGTATTTAGTACAAGGTCTACAGGGTCTCACTACACAGATCAGACTCATAGTGATTCTGTTTTCAGCCTCCTAAGTGCTGAGATCACAGACACATGCACCACCGACGCCCTCAGTCGCTGTCTCAGCGTGCCCCAGGGACAGGGCCAGCATGGCATGTGGACCCCAGTCCCTGCACCTGCCTAAGCAAGGGTTTTAGTCCACTGAGCTATCTGGCCAGCCTATGTCTTTTTTTTTTTTTTTTTTTTTTTTGCGGAATCGGGGATTGAACTCAGGCCCTTGAGCTTGCCAGGCAAGCGCTTATTCTACTGAGCCATCTCCCCGCCCCCCCCCTTTTTTTAAACTTAAAAATACACTGCTCTGTTTCCTTGGGAGGGGGAGTGAATATGATTTTCAAATATACAAAATACACTTTGAAATATAAAATCAGTACTCTTAGCTTTTAAATTCATTATTATTTTTCTACCAAAATGATAATCTCATACTCATTCTGGTAAACTTCATGAGTGATATGTAAAATAGAAAAAGTAATGTACAGAGCCAGGTGTGGTGGTACACACCTATCATGTAAGCATTCTGGAGGGCTAGGATAGGAGGGATCACAAATTTGGCCCGTGTTACGGTTTTTATCTAGGTGTTCCCTCGAAATTTCATGCAGTCAGTGGGGAGGCTTCTACAGTTTGTGATTAATACATGATCTAGTGTTGGCATTATGAGTGTGGGGGTAATCTGTATTACAATGCAAGGAGAGGAAAGAGGCTTGCTAGCTGCCTCAGCTGCTGCCTCTCCCTTTGCTGTTTGTTGTTTTCTGCCACCATGAATGGCTGCCCTCTGCCATGTGCCACTCTGCCTTAGAGCCAGCTGAGTATGGACTGAAACCTTCACTAACTGTGAACTAAATAAACTTTTCCTTCCTTAATTCTAGGTGCTGGCTATTTGTCCCAGCTTTGAGAAAACTAAGATACCCAGCCAAGGCAATTTATGAATATGTAGTCTCAGAATAAAAAGGGCCGGGGATGTGACTCAGTGTGCAGATCCTGGGTTCAATCCCTAATACCACAGGATAGGATAAGGGGTGGAGGGAATAAAGTACAAACTGGGTCTAGAAGAAAAAAAAGGGTAAGCCATCTCTTAACTCAATTACAATGACAGCTAGGGATATAGCTCAGCAATGTAAGCGCCTGCCTGGCAAGTACAAGGTCCCGAGTTCAATTCCCAGTAAAACAAACACACACACACACACACACACACACACACACACACACACACGTTTGGGCCAGGGAGATAGCTGAGTAGAATAAGGGCTTGCCTGCCAAGTGCAGGGTCCTGAGTTCAATCCCCGGTACCACAAAAAAAAAAAAAAAAAAAAAATTACAATGACAAAGGGTTCTGATTTGGCAGGAAACAGGTTTTTGCTATGCACCTGAGGCTGGCCTCAAACTTACAGCAATCCTATTGCCTTTACCCTCCCAAGTGTAAGCACTACAGTCGTGAGCCACCATGCCTGGCCTGTCTTCACTGTAAGCAACAAGGAAAGGATTAAAACAAAAACAATTATGTTAATACCAAATTATTCTCACTGTACAGTACATTAGTAGTTTGCAAGCCTCTATGCTGATTTCTCATGATTGCCATCTCCTACTCACACTATTAGGCAGTTTCTCTATCCTCCTTAGGGGAACAAGAGAATACAGCAGATGTGTATTTTTTTTTTTTTTTTTTAAGGAAGATGAAAACAACTTTTTATACATTAATTGAGTTTTCTTTTCTGGAATATTTGAAGTGATACTTTTTTTTTTTTTTTTAAAGACAAGGCTCACTATGTAGTCCAGGCTGGCCTTGAACTCAGTGATTCTCCTGCCTCCTCAGCCTCTTGATGCTGAGATTACTGGTATAGAGCACTATGACAAGCTCACTTCTAAGATTACATTAGAAAAGACTGTAGCTTCTGTGATTGGTCATCTCCTTACCCACCTTGATTATCTGCATTAGGGAAAACAGTTGGTAATTTTGTATGTTCCCCTACTAAGAAGTCTAAGCAACAAGGAACTGAGGCTTGCTGATGAGAAGTGAGGTGGAAAGTGAATCCTCTCCATTCCCAACCTAGATTTCAGATGAGTACAGCTTAAGCTAAGAGCTTCACTTTAATCTAGGGTCTACAGGGTCTCACTACCTATGATTGGGCTCATAGTGATTCTCCTGTTTACAGCTTCCCAAGTGCTGGGATTATGAGTGCGCACCACTATGCCTGGTCTCAATTGCGGTCTTAGTGTGCTCTGGAGGCAGAGCTAGCACAGCAGGCCGGGAATCAAACCCTGGCCACTGGGCTCTGCCTGAGCAGGTGCTTTAGTTCACTGAGCTATCTGACCAGCCCTCACTTCAATTTCATAGAAGACTGTTAGCCAGGACCACCTACCTAAGCTGCTTTTGAATTACTGACCCTAATGTGCAAGGCTCTGTACTCAATCCCTAGCACTGAGAGAAAAAAACAACTATGTATTCAAGTAATCCACTGCCAGACTTTTGTCCTTTGTGTACCAGTTTTCATCCACCAAGAGACTCTGAAGAAAAAGAGGTTATAAAGTACCTGTACAATTGGTGGAGTCGTTTGTGAATAAGGAGATGTCACACCATAGACACTTGAACATGTCTGTCCTTGATAATATATGGTCGCTTGAGATTGTGCAGGAGAGTACTGTTGCTGTACACTGACAGATTGTTGGTTTGAATCCCAAACACTATAATTCTGTCCTTGGACTGGACCTGGAGTTGGTACTGGCATGACAGCAACACTGGAGTCTTGGTGGACCACACCATCACTCTGGGCCACATATTGTGAACTAGACACTTCCACAGGGGCTGCCACATGTGGTACCACTGGCACTGGTGGAGGGGCAGCAAGGGGTTCTGTAGAATGCCCCACCAAGGGCTGGGCATGATCATAAGGAGCAGGAGAACACACAGGGTCCATGCTGGGTGTGGGCAGGAGCACCTTTCCAGCATTTGGATTGCTGGGATCCACATAAGCCTGCATGGGATAGCCAGGTGGGTAGCCAGCAAAGGGGTGATGGGAGGCATTATAGCCAAGAGAGTCATAGGGCAGTGGTGATGTCATTCCCAGATTCTGCATCTGCTGCTGCTGTTTCTGAGCCTCCCGCTGAGCCACTTCTTGTTCAAACAACTTTCGGCGCTCCTCTGTAGAGAGTTTATTGCGGTCTTTAATTCGCACTTTCTTTTTAGATGTTGGTGTATCATATCTAGGAAGAAAACAGTAAGAGGATTGCAAAGTTACTCACTAAATCATGGACATAATTTAAGCCCATGAGAACTATTATGTGACTCATTACTAAATTACTAACCACACCAACTTTAATTTGGCTAAAATAAAAAATCTTACTCAATATTTTTCTGTAGATATAATAGAACTCCAAAGAAATCAACATTTAGATGAAATTATTATGGGAGAAACTGCCTATAAGGAGTCACAGGATTCGCAGACTCTCAAACTTCACTTAAAAATACATAATAGCATCATACTCCTCATAACTGGAGTCTACTGTGTAACAATGAATTCTAAAATCTGAAAAAGTGCAATGAACTAAGAAATGATCCAATTCTTAGTATCCCTAAGGTGCAGAGTATGGTTAAGCAAACAGATCAGCTCTGAAGAGAATCAGGAGCTTGGAAGATAAATTCAATAAATTTCAACCAGGCAAAATAAATACACATATAAACATACAGTATAGGGGGAAAAAAGAAAAAAAATTTAAAAACTAACAAGGAAAGTCAGAAGACCACTAGCATCAAAGCACTGAAAGGAATTGTTGGCCTAAGAAAGCTTCCCTTTAAAAATATTTTTCTTTTTTTTTTTTTGCGGAACTGGGGATTGAACTCAGGCCTTTGTGCTTGCTAGGGAAGGACTTATTCCACTAAGCCATCTCCTCAGTCCCATAAAAATATTTTTCAAAATATTCACAGAACTAGCAGATGATCTGGCAATTCCTCTTTCATACACATACAAAAAGTAAATGTAAGCAAGTTTTTTTAAAAAGGTAAACATGAGGGATTCAGCTGGGCTTGGTGGTACATGTCTACAGAATCCCAGCACACTGGAAAACTGAGGCAAGACAGTCACAAGTTTGAGCCTAGACTAGGCAGCTTAGCAAGACCCTGTCTCATAACAGAAAATAAAAATGGCTGAAAAGGTACCTTAGTACAAACAATGACATGGGTTCCATCCTCAGTATACCTCATAAATAAAACATTTAAAAATAAAAAAAAAGAGCAAAGTACAAGTCTGGCACAGAGCAGCAAGACTCATAAGAGTAAAAATGTATAAACACAGCTAAGTATAGTAACACATGCATGTAACTGTAGCACTTAGCAGGTTGAGGAAGAAGGATCATGAGATTCAAGGCCAGCCTGGAATATACAGAACAAAACAGAGTCAAAGAGAAAAAGAGAGAAGCAAGAAGTAGAAAAGGGGTGGGGATATGGAAATAATCCACATGTCTGATAAATTTATAAACTAGTACAGCTATACAATAGACTCAGTAATAAAGAACTATGGAGAGGGGGAACTACCCGCTCGGGCTCCCTCCTGTTCCTCTCTTGGACAGGAGCTTTCTTTCTCTCAATAAATATATTCTGTTCATAACTTCTGTTTGTTCCTAAAATTCATTCTTCGGTTTTTAGAGAACACGAACTCGTGCAGGTCAGGTCCAGAGATCGTTTTTCTCTATGTCATTTGGAGGTCCCCTATATGGTTTGGAGGTCACCCACCCGAGAATTGGGACTTGCTTAGGTAACAAATTTATGTTTCAAATGTTAATATGTCTTTGCCCATTGCTCATAATTGTTCATGCTTTGCCTCATACAGTTTTGTTTCACAAAGTACTGTTAAAATTGCTTATAATTGCTTCTGTTTTGTCTCTGATATTGTTGGTAAAATGTTGGTCAAAATGTTGTAGGTAATTTTTTTTTTTTTTAAAACATTTATTTTTATTTATTTAGTGTGTGTGTGTGTGTGTGTGTGTGTGTGTGGCCAGCTCAGCCCACCAGGGGGCGGGGCTGGCTGGCATGTGGTGCTGGGGG